GGCTGAACCTTTCTCAAGTTCCAAAGAAACCAAGAGAATGGCCTTTGAGCAGGAGTGGCAGTTCTGCCAATAAGAACAAGAATCGAGTTGCGACAAGACGCAAGCATCGAGAAAGAGAATTGAAACCTTTGAAGAACAAGTTAAAATCTGGTATTCGTACCAAGGAAGGAAGTCGCAGTACTAAAGACAGTAAAGCTATCCTTGAAGCAAAGCACAATCTATGTTTCCAACAGATTGGGAATGAGATGAAAGCTGATTATGAAGAGCACGACGCTATTCTGATCGCTCGTTGCATGATGCAGATCAAGGCAAAGTTTGATACTGATGAAGGTCTGAACTTCATTCAACAGGATTACATCAACCAAGGACTGAAGAAGTTTGGTGATGATGGAAAGGATGCTGTGGATAAGGAATTGAGAAAAATGCTCCTGAGAGATTGTTTCACTCCTGAATTTGTTAAAGACATGACCGCGTCTGAGCGAAAGAAGCGAGATTCGGGTGGACCTCATGCGCACAATCCAAATGATGAATTCAGAGCTGCAGGCCAACAACAAGAGAGTGGGGAAATTGGCCATGGCCTATGCAGAGCAGCACAACTTGATCCCAAAAGGACAACATGGGTCTCGCAAGCGTCACCAGGCCATTGATCTGGCCCTTACAAAGCGTCTCACTTGGGACCTCTTGCATCTTCAACGCCGCCCGGCCGGGTGGATCTCCAACGATGCCAAGTCCTGCTTTGACCAGATTGTCCACTGGGTGGCAATTATTAGCCTCAAAGTGGACAATCATTAGCCTCATGCGCTTTGGGATTCAATGGCGTACCCTTCGCTCCATGTTTGATACACTGATGAAGTCTAAGCACCAGGTGCATACGGATTCAGACTGTGTCTTTACTCCTCCGACCCTGATTCCATTTCAAGGATGTGGACAACGCAATGGGGCAGGACCTCCTATCTGGGTTGCAATTAGCTCCATTCTCTTGGGTATGATGACAGGCCACTCCAATCAACGCCGCCTCAGCAATCCGTTAGGCCCGTGGCATTCCATTGACTTGTCCTGGAAGTGGCAATACTCCCCCTCTACCAATACCCTCTTCCACTGTGAGGGTTGATTATGGATCCCTTCCGCTCCTCTCGCCTCCACCAGCCGTCAGCGCACCTTCTACTTGCCTCATCGCTTCACCCCTGATCTCCCACCTCTACCAGTGGATGCTGTCTGTGACAGAATTCTAATAGGAACGGGACTTGTGACTTGACCTATAGGATTCCCAGGTTGAAGTGTAGCCTGTGCGCCGCACGCATCACACGTGCAAAAACTGTTACATGCCATTACTTTAGCGTAGAAAAGAACTGAGTCAGCAGTTCTCTGACAAATCATAGGATTTGCGTGGTAGATGTAGCCACGGATCCCATGGAGATATGCCTTAAGAGGTTTTGGCACATCCCAAAGTACATCAGGTTGAGGGTCACCGTTAGCATCATGTGGCTGACTGACAGGATACTGTAGTCCGTCAATATCAGCATCATCCAGGCCAACAAGGTCGAGGTAACATTTGCAACCATACAAGTCAAGTGCGAGATGAAGAATACTGCCAGCACTGTAGCCAAAGACAGTTTCCAGGATGTACACAAGACTAGTTTCAAGATGTCCAGGTTGTAGGACTCGAGAGAGGTTGCGGTTTGTTGTTGAGTTGCCAGCAGTGGACATTGTCACTCGTGTGCCTGATGGTTGAGTATTACTAGTTGTGGGCAGTTGAGTGATGTTGGTGTCAATGTTCAGAGCTTGCAATTCTCTTTGACCAATCCGGACCATGCAGGAGTTGACTCAGAGGAATGAAACTCAGTCGACTCAGTTGATCAGAAGATCAGTTGACTGGTTGGAGTCAGATGATGGTCGAAGTAAAATTGAAACAACACGCCTGAAGGTTTGTTTCCTGATGTGCTGGTGTAGGACTGCAGGATTGGGTGCACAACTGCCCTTTCCAGATCGTTTTACTTCTTGATTTGCACCAAGAAGGTGATCTCTTGCTTTTGAGACTTCCACCACAGAAGCTATTCAATCAAAAGGAGAAATCGGATCCCTTGCTTTGTTGAAAACTCCTGACAACAAGAAGGAGGTGAACAGGGGCAGCACAAGCTGGCAAGACTCAGTGCTTTCTTGAATTAAAATACTCCAAATCGAATGGCAAGGGCGATAGGGCCGCTCAATGCCAACACTCCACAATAAGCCAAAAAACTCCGAGTCGTCGTGGGACCAAAACTTGAAAATGACTCGTTGCCAATCGTTGACGAGTTCTTCAATCAAACTGAAAAGTATGGGTATGAAAAAACCCCAAAGAATTATTCAGTTCGAGTGGTGGTAGAGGATGGGCTTGACGGTAGCCCAAAGAACTTGCGAAACGCTGAAAATTGATCCGCGAGTTGTTGTGTGGTTCGTCCTTTTTGATGATAAGACGAATTCCAAAATGTTGATTGTCCTCGTCTTTGATGGAAGACGAGATCAGCAAAATTCTGAAGGACAATCGCTGCAGTCAGTGGCATTAATCTAGATGCTAATCTTTATCCAACTTTGTCCAATAATCGGCAATGGGATAGTCCTCATGGCAAACGTCTCACATCTGAAGAGGAACATCCTCAATACCCTAGCCTTGCTGAGCCTTTTATCCCTGATCTTGAATCAGTTGACCTCGGGCCTGAAGGCAAATATGGTACCCTTGACAAGGAAAATTCTCAGTACCATTGTCTTGTTGAGCCGTTTGTTAATGATCTTGCATCAGTCGACCTTGAGCCTGATCCTGTTGTTGACCTCAGGACCAAACGCCGACATGGTACCCTTGATCTCTCATCAGTCGACCTTGAGCCTGATCCCACTGTTGACCCCAAGAGCAAAAGCCGACATGGTACCCTTGACGACAATCATGTCCAGTATCCTTGTTTTGTTGAGCCGGTTGCTACTGATCTTGCATCAATTGACCTTGAGCCCAATCCTCTTGCCTACCGAGCTTGTCTGGCATCTTTGGCAACACTTCCTTGCAAGAAATCTCTTTGCACTGCAAAGTTAGAAGCTGCTGGTTCCAACAATCAGCCTCCTGCGCAACCACCTCCATCCCCGCAACATCCTGTCAACTTACATGAGATGTTGACTACTACCGATTTTCTCTCACAGTTCCAGCACTCAAGCATGGGGAGGGGTGAAGATGCAGATACTCTGACTTCTGTAACAAGTGAAGAGACCAATTCAGACAACTTGGTTGCTGGGAGTGAAGATGCAGATACTCTGACTTCTGTAACAAGTGAAGAGACCAATTCAGACAAGTTGGCTCTGGTCCCAGCAACCAAGTATCGTAAAGCTACTCAAGAGGTCAAAAATTACAAGATATCCATAGATGGAGTTGATGTTGATGAATGGGCCAAGTCTGTACCGGATGATGGGTCTGCAGGTGAACAAAGTCCTTTTGATAGAGTGGACATCCTCACTAAGAGGAATACGACAGTCACTACTCTGAAGGATTCTCCTGCCTTAGATGATGCTATTGGTTTCTTTGAGACTCATCACTGTGTCATGCCAACAAATGGTCTGTACAAACTACATCCTGGACAAGCTTCTGATCTTGATTGGTTGGAATGTAACATGGCTGGTCTATTTGATTTAGATCCTGCCCATGTGCCACAACTTAGACCACCAGATTTTGAAGCTTACAAGTCAGGCAGGCAACCATCCGTTCTGTTTGTTCCTGAAACGCCTATCAACTTTGTCATTGAGTCTACTCCACTGCGAGACAAACCCATAAACTTGAATTACAAGCTGTCACCCTCTGGACCTTGACGCAGCCCATGCTGCAAAACACATTCTGAGGATGGAAGGTGGAACTCAAAGGACAATCTGCAGAACCAGGCCCACCGTCTCATGATCCAAATGCTCATGATCCTGTCCTGAAAATGGAACCAATGTATAAGAACTTGAGCTCTGCAATGAAATTGCATGAACGCAACTGGGAACGCCTGCGCACATACTTTGAGGCGCGTTCTTAACAAAAAAAAAGTGCACCACGATGCGCCACGATGCACCATGCCAACCCGGACATACGCAAAAAATCCGGGTTAGCATGGTGCATCACGGTGCATTTCAAATGCACCACGATGCACCACGATGCATCACGGCATCATGGACTTGGCACGTGCTCCCAAAAAAATATTTACCAATCAAAATCCTGAACTCAGAATGGCTTACCTGCCTCCGGTATGTCATCTCTGATGAAAACACAGTTGCTTTACATCATTGCATACCCAACAATAAGACAAATGCCTTTGCACAATCAAAGGTATAATCAAACGTTTTTCGTGTTCACGTTTTCTTGAAACATTTTGTTGACTCTGTGTCAATCCGTAAACCCTAATGTGATCCACCAATAAATTCCGCATTGCTGAAGACCCGGTTATTTGTTCAAAAGGGCGCAGTGTGGGTAAATATCCCAGGCCTGCTGGGGAAAGTTCCATAGAGTCAAAACAAGTGTTGGCAGACATTTCCGTTTCTTCACTTTCTTCTTGCTTGTGCTCACCAAGTATCCTTTCGTTAATTCCAAGATTGTGAAGCCTGGCACAAACTTCGAGGACCTGTGACTGCCTAGCAAGCTTCCCTCCCAATGGTCTGCACAGCACTCTCCACTTGTTAGTCAGATGGCCGAACGCCATCTCAATCCTAATCCTGAGCTGAGAGATGTCGTGAAAGTTATAAACATCATTGGATGTCCTATGAAACGAGTTCTGATACAACTCTTTCTGAAGATGTTCTTCCCAATTGACCCGTTCGGTTGGATACTTGGGTCTTCTCGTTTGTTGTTGTGTTAAATGCGCGAGAGTAAAAAATAAAGCAGTGTCGTAATTGTCATCAAGAGCAAAATCGAGCATCTTGTTGTTGTTTTGTTGTTGTTGCGTGTCGCGGAAAAATTGACCGCACCTTAGTGCATCTACATGTGTTTACTTAAAGGATTGTACGCAGGGCCGGAAATGCCGCACAGGGCCGGTAATGCGGCACCGTTTTTGTTAGGAATGGTCGAATATGCACCAAATTCCGCCGTGGTGCAAATGAGTCGTGTGGTGCATTTTTGTTTTTTTGTTAAGAATGCCCCTGAGTGGTTGCCCAAGCTAGATATCCAGAAATTATTTCTGTGGACTTTTGTCTATCTAGCTAGATCTCCTGTGGGGGCCCACCATGAACACAAATATCATCTCTTGGCGTCATCCCTAGAGTCTATTTGTTACATGTTAGGCACAGTAGGCAACGTGGAACATCCTGGTTGCCACATGACCTACCAATTTCTGTTTCTAGAAAGGAACAACTTTTTGTTTCCTTCAGAAATCTGCTCTGCTCAATCACCTACCAAGCTACACAAACGTCTTGATCTACCTGATGGGGAGGAACTCACGCTCCCTACAATAATCACCTCAATTGATCTATCTGATGGGGAGGAGTTGGCACCCCCTACAAAAATCAAATCCAGTGACAATCAGACCATTAAGACCGTTGTTTATTCTAGTGAGGATGAATCAGATATAGAAGACGTTCTGCTAGGAAATTGGGACCTCATTGGACAAACTTTCCTTCTCTCACCAGATGAAAGTTATGTTCGACGTGCTAAGATTGTTGAGCTTAACTACAAGCACAACCGCAACAAGGACATTGAGCCTGCACATATTCAACTATGCCTGAACATTGACAAAGGTGAATATGAACGTGTCATGGCTTACCGTAACATCCACAAGTGGTCAGAAATTGACGCAGACACCCCCATTGTTTGGAATCTCAAGTGGGTTGTATGCTGCCATCACTACATTCGACTTGAACACCCTTCTTACCTGGGTCTGACCTTTTGTATGGCCATTGGATGGAAACATGGGGAGAATACTCCAGAAGCACTGAGCATCACTGGAGCCGATGACTCAGTGACCTACACTATACATGCCAGAAATCACAACCTGTTGGAAAGTCAAGCTTGTAAACCTCTTGGAAGTATAGTGAAGGACAAGTGGAAATTCCTTTGTCCAACCAATCAAGTCAAGCTGAGATTGCTACATACTACTACACCAAAGTATATGTACTACTACAAGATCCAGAAGGAGCACAATGGTGTCCCTCAACTTGACAAACCCCATGGCAACACCAACTGGAAACATGCCACCAAAGTCAAGATAGATCTGCTTGCAAGGTACAAGGTCCTTGTGGATATGGGGAGAGGAATCCCAACACCAAAAGATCACCAAAAGTTCCAAGTCCGACATTTCAATGCCCTTAAACATTGTGACAAACACAAGCCCAGACTCCTACCTTATGGTGACTTTACCTACATACTGCCAAACAAAACAAAACCCTACTGTCTATTGACAGACCAATCGGTTGCCGGTATAATCCGTCATATGATGAATGGAACCTCATTCAATTTCTTATCTAAGGAGCAGTCAACTGTTGGGACTGCAACTAATGGTTCTGAGTTTGTCACCACTCAAACCTGTGTCAAACAGATTATGGATCTCCAACAAACCTTGAGGTACCTTGGTGTGTCGATCCAAGGTCAAAGCTACATGTCTGGTGACAATGAATCTGTCATGAATAGTTCTTCCCTACCTGAAGCTAAGCTACACAATCAAGATGTTGCATTGTCATTCCACCGTGTGAGAGAAGCAGTAGCAGCTAACATGCTATCTATTATCCACATTGACAGTGCTCTCAACCCAGCTGATATTCTCAGCAAACATTGGGGTGATCAGCAAATCTGGACACTACTACTGACTCTAATGTTCTGGTCTGGAGATACTGCTGAACAAGAGGACTAGGTCCTCACTTCGTCCCATTTGGGGAGTGACAGAATTCTAACAGGAACGGGACTTGTGACTTGACCTATAGGATTCCCAGGTTGAAGTGTAGCCTGTGCGCCGCATGCATCACATGTGCGAAAACTGTTACACGCCATTAATTTAGCGTAGAAAAGAACTGAGTCAGCAGTTCTCTGACAAATCATAGGATTTGCGTGGAAAAGTGATGGATCATCGCTTTTCTCACTGCATGCTTTTTACTTGAATTGATATCGATCAACTTGTAGGAACTAGTCAACGATAGGCTTATAGTCTATATTCATTTATTTCTGTCAGTCTGCGCCTCAGTCTCTGTCTTCCCTAGTCGTTCTCCAATCCACAAGAGCCGGGTCCTCCTCCACTCTACGGGCCCTCACCTACCAGCCGAACCACCTGCCCCCCATCTTCCATCCTCAACCTCTGGCATCACTTCGGCAGTCTGGCTGAATCAGGTTCTCACAGCTGGGTTCCAGAGGTCATTACCATTGAAGGTAGTGTGGACCGCCTGGTTCAGGCCCTTCTTGTCGGTACCCTTTGTGCTGTGAGCGACGGCTCTTACAAAGCTAAAGTGGGCACAGCATGCGATCAGATTCTCATTGAGGATCGCAGGGATATCATCTGGATCACCTGCCAAACCCCTGGGAAATTTGAGGATCAGAGTTCAACGCGCAGCCAATTGATTGGCCTTATGGCTTCTCTCCTGGTGTTGGACTGGATGTCTCAGGTCGCCCAACTGAAACGCTTTGCCAGCCAACCGTCAGTGAGATGGCCAGAAACGGGCTCATAGCTCTTGATAAGTCCTTCTCCAAAGTCCACCTGTCCTCGTCTGGTGCCCAGTTTGATCTGGCCTCCACCATCCGGACCTTGCTTTGCCACCTTCCCCTCCAAGTTCACCTGCGCCATGTTAAAGGACACCTGGACAAGCACCGGCCTTTCTCCCAACTGGACTGGTGGGAGCAGCGCAATGTTGAAGTGGACTCCAAAGCACAAGCCTACCGCCGCCTGCTGGAGTCTACAGGCTGTTCTGCCGCCTCCAACCCCCGCTTCTTCCATGAACCGGTGTCTTTATTCATTGATGGTGTTAAGTCCTCTAAACTGGATCAGGCTCACATCATGGAGCTGGTCTCTCTTCCTGCCCTTCGAGCATATTGGTCCTCCAAGGACCGCCTCTCCGAGCAGTCCATCCGCAAGGTCAATTGGTTATCTCTTGCACGTGCCATGAAGGCCCTCCCAGCAAATCTCCAACGCTGGACACCCAAACATATCTCCGGTATGACAGGTGTGGGAAAATTCTTGGCCATTTGGAACCGTTCGGCAAAGAGTTCCTGCCCCAGATGCTCCTCCTGCCCCGTGGAAGATCACCTCCATACCGCAGCTGCAGAATGGTCAAAACGCCATCTGGCCCTCCGGACCTGGATGCAGACTCAGCAGACTGCCCCAGAGATCGAAGCCTTCCCTTTTGAATACCTGAAGACAGTCCGTCAGCCTTCCTTGGGCGTCCCCACCGTCTGAGCCTGGTCCTGCCATCCCCATATCTTCCAAAGTGCCATCTCTTCCCAAGCCATGCTTGGGCCCAGGGCCTCCTTGAAGGCCTAGTGTCCCCAAACTGGAGACACCTGCAGGCCCTTCACTTCTCCTACATTGGCTCATCAAGAGGCTTTTAGATCAAGTTGGAACCATGTAATCCCGTCATTGCAAGATTGGTATTGAATCGGTATTGAGCAATTCTCTGAACTTCAAAGGAGAAAGAACTATAGATGCCTGTAGCTTTACCTGTAAACAAAAGTAAGCAGAACTCTATTGTGTTTTTGTGGGTACTTTATTAGTCTTCAACCCCATGGTATGTGCACAACAAATGTTCCTTCATATTGGTTGACACCTCACAATAGAAATCGAAATCTTGATTACCCCAACGCGGTTGATCTGCAATGGATGGTCAAAGATCTGCAGTCATTTCCCAAAAAATCTATTTTACCGAAATGAGAAAATGCGAGGAGGGAGCGAGTGATTGCCTTTCGATGATGCATTGAAGAACTGCCATCCCCACCATTCCGGATCTGGTTTCTCTGACCCATAGAGCATCTTGTACTCATCAAGTCTCTCAGCAAATGAAGGATAGCTCTTGAGAATTCTCCTGCCTTCAAAATCCTTGAGCGTTGGATACAAAGAGAATCGGGGAGTCATCGCCAATTTGAGGTTGGTTGTCAGCTCTTCCATCGAAGGAATCCGTTTGTATCCGTACAAATAGGATGAGTTCGCATACAAATCACACGGCCGAACTGACGGATGTGAAAGTATCCAATGTTCGGCTGCAAATCGACCACTACCATAGTAAGCGCTGTCTCGCGTCCCCATTTTCTGCAGGAACGGATCTAATCCAAGAAGTTTCTTGATGTAGGAGCATCTTGCCACCCACATATTTCCAGGAATATGCGCATGTGGAAATGGACTCATTCTCATTGAGCACACATCGCATGTCAACGGAAGCCCTGAACATTCACTCGACAGCACAGCGAAAGAGAGGACTTTTCGTAATTTCTCGTTCTCCTCTGTTGAATGAAAGGACCCCTTCGAATGAAGATAACCCACCTTGGCGGTTGGTCTGGAATCGCAAAATTGCCATAGCTCATTCAATGTTATCCTCTCTGAACCGGAATTTTGATGACTCCGCAACCATACATCAGTGACGTTCGTAACACTCACCAACGAAGGTAGAATCGTTCCAATTGAGTTGACATAAACAACGTTATGTATGCAGGGTTTCAACCATTGGAACTGGTCTCGGACTATATTTGTAACTCTCATCACCTCAGAAACATCTCTCACATAAAGATGATAAAATATCGACACTGTATTTGTTTTAGTGCTGTTCTTTTCGTCAATGATGTAGGCAATGTTCGACATTGAACTAAAGGATTGCAATGGATGCCATAACAACGTAATAAGTAATAATAGACAACAGCATTGCCATCGGCAACCGCACAGCGCGAGAGTTTTAGATCCGGTTTGACAACCGAATGAAGCACTCGCTCTGGCCATTTCGTGACCACGGATGAACCGCATGTTGTGAAGAACAACTGAACCTTGTTGCAAATTCGGATAATTTCAACAGGACCCTCCGCAACTCGTCTGTCGATCGACCTTTTGAGGGCACATATCGGATAAATGGGGTTTGCAAATCAGCTCACGACTACCAGCTTCTACGTACGTGTACATGTCGTCAGCTGGAACCACATCCAGGTTATTTTCACTTCAAAAAGCAAATCAAAAAGTAAGAGGGGAGGGTTTTAGGGGATTATGCATTCACTAACTCGCCAAATAACAAAACACCAATGCCGATCTTCACAAAAAAATTGTTACACATCACAAAACCCGCAACTCTGATAATCTAAGCCGACGACCAAGAAGTATAAGATCATGGCAAGAGGTAGACCTCCTGGAACCAAGAATAAGTCAAGTCATTCCGCTGGAGGAGACAGAAGATCTTCCAAGTACAAGAAGCAACAGGCAGCAAAACAAGCAAGAGGACGACAGCACATAGCTGATGCATTTGCCAACGCCAGACGACAGCAATTGGAAACTCCCCAATGGAAAGAGCACCCCTTGTCAAAGAATAACTTCGAAGCATCACAAAAGCTGCTTGCCAAAGTGCTTGATCATCCTTCAATGCCCAAAGGAAAATCAGTGCCGACCAGAGGAATCATTGACCAGAGAAGCGACAATTGGGATATCAGCTATGACATTCCATCTACTACCAATGAAGAAGAGAGCGATGGGTTCTATAGAAGAGTATTAATACCTCCTGCTGGCACACCATTGCGAACATACCTTGATGAGGCAAAGGCACATATAGAGAAAAATGAGTTCTGGAGAAGACGCCAGTACTACGTGACGGGATCATCATCAAAGAAACGTTGATGAAGGCGCTTGCAACATCTACAGTGATGATTAACGATGCAATTGTCAATGCTTACCTTGCTCTCCTTGTTCAAAAGTGCCATTACTCTGGGAAAAGAAGGAATGTTAAGGCAAAAAACTCGGGAATGTGGCGGACACAAGACGGAAGAAAGAAAGTGGAATCTTACCTGGCGCGTACAAGCCACCCTGTCAATCTCTTTCCTGTATTCTTTGGAAGCCGGAATGCTGGACATTGGGCAGCTCTCATTGCTTGCAATAAATGTTTTCCTGCAGAAGAAAAACGAAAGTATATTTTTATTGACAGCTTGGAGTATTCAAGGAAACATAATTTCCTTGCAGTGAAACAAATGTTGGGTGCTGAGGAAGATGATCCCGATTTCGTGATGATAAACTCACCTAACCAGGCCCTGGGATCAAACGATTGCGCTGTGTACACCCTTGCAGCATGCGCTCACTATGTGTTGCGAGATGGCAACCGGTTGCCTTCCTCATTCCGATTCCAAACTGATATTGATGCCGCAATGTTTGGCAGAGCTTGGAGGCGCCATGTATTTGAATCCCTTGTGAATGAGAAGATCAATATGGAGGATCCAGTTCTTTCTTGGATGGAACTGCAATATGGAGCATAACAATAAGCAAGTTAGAAGCATTAGACATAGCCTTTGGCGCCAGCATGACGTTGAGTGTACTCACGACTCCTTGATGAATCGGTGAAGCTTTTCGCCAGATGCAGGGGACGCTGTATAAGCTACATGGTAAAGCATAATCAAATGCATTCCTTTCGGTAGTAGTAAGCAGTGCAGTAGCAAGATAAAATCCCACTCCGCTGCTGCTTTCAAAGAATGTCGACCGAAGCGAATTTTGGATCAAATGTTGGAATCAACACGCTCTCTTTTCAAAGCTTCACACTTTCTATAAGAACAAGTGATTTAGACACAGGTTCCGTCCATGATCACTCCCAGAAAATCAGTTCTCGGGAGGTACCGGTCCAGGTCGATATTTATTAGAAAGAGAGATTCGTGCCAAATCCGTAAAATGCTGCCGCTGATTTGTTGACTGGTGATTGATAATCCATGAGTGATGATCAGTCGTCTTCTGTTTTCTTGAAGCTGGCTGTGCTGCACCAGTCTCATCCTTGACTCCGATGCGTTTCTTCCATGATTAGTCGCACTTGTTGTGGGGCTGGTGTTTTTGGCACGTCCTTTGTTGCCAATCTTTTGATCGTGGTGATGTTGATCGGAGCAATGACGTTTGCAAAATTGAAAATGCAGCTCACGACAAATCACATCGCGACATATCCGGGTTCAAAGTGCTTAATTTTTGATTTTCAAAAACTATTGGTCTGCCCTC